ATAGAACATATTTCAGTAAGAAGACAAAAATTTGTATCTTCAATATAGAACTTATGCTATTTTAATTTTTTGCAAATTTCGAAAGTACAGAGAGTTTCCTGACAATGGGAGCGGCACCAGATTTTATAGCGTCCTTTGATACATGCGAAGAAAAAATATTATTTTTGAAAAAAATTTGGAGAATTTTTTAGAAAAAATGAGAGGAAATGCCTATATTTTAGGCAAAATAACTTTTGCGATGTTAATTTTTGCAATATGCGAAAGAACAGATTGTTCCCTTAAATGAGAGCAGATTTTTTTACCGTAAAGTGCCCAAAAATTCAAAATATCCGTGTAAACTCTCAGCGCTTCGAATTCAAATCAATCGGAAAATCGATTTGCAGTCTGAACGCTATAAGCGCTAACATTGCCCATAGACGGACACACGGCCAGACACGTTTTACCGTCAATCAATGTTTTGATATCAAGAACCCACAAAACATTGACTTTGACTATACAAAGGGATAGGAGAAGTAATTTACTTCATAGGAACAAGATTTATTTAATTTTTCGGGTCCAGGGCCCGGCAATAAGAGCTTTTTCGTCACAAAAGCGCCGTTTCCGGGCGCACGATTATAATACCTTCTTTTCTTACGAAGGGGAGAAAATAATATTTCGCAGAGCTGATTTTACTTATCCATTGGAGCTTGATGCCACAGTGCCGAACTGCAAAACTGCTATTCCAAACTGACGTTTTTAAAGAAGAGCCACTATGTGTTGGCGATGCGAATCCCTCAGGTTGGATTAATGACGTAAAATTTATTAAATTACCTCAATACTTTTTCCACTCGAAGAGCTCACAAGGATGTCCAATTCTTTTGTTAGATCACAAACCGTAGTTAACCGTAGTTAACCTGTTACTGGTTTGGATCATTTTAAAGAACCTCCTTTGGAGTCCATGAACAATGTTTCTCCCTTATATGAGCCACACCCGCCATGAACTACAACTGCTTGTCAGATGGGTTTATAGACCATTGAAGAAATTCATGAAGTCAGAGTGTTTCATGTGTCACTAACCCTCCCGGCTGGTGAGATTTGCTGATGATTTATACCATCCCGTAATCTTTGCCACTGCTCTGCCACTCACATTAACACTTGGGGTAACATAACAGTTGCGTTAAATGCAGCAGGTACCTCTTCCTTTATTCCTGATGTGTCCTTTCAAAATATTTTCTAGTAGCATTCTCAACAGATCATGTTATTCCAATGGAAACTTTCAAAAGTTCTCGTGAACCACGTGGTGCAGTGGAACCTCCAGATAAAATAGAAATCCAAAGAGTAAGTTCTGATGTTGCTCAGCGAAGTTGAGACTTGCTGTCAGCTATTGCAAGAACAATGCTATCTGCAAGTGTTCCCTGCTTAGTTCCAGAAAAAGTCATAGCACCAGCCAGAAAAGGAATCGAAAAGAGGTTGAAAGAGAAGAAAGCCTGATATCCTGTCCGTTATTCCAATCAGGAAGAATTGAAAGAAAAAAAAACAAATGCGAAGGAGTAAAATTTCGCATTAAAGGTGACAAGAAAGAAACCGAAGAGCAAAAAGGAAACAAATTATCAATTTCAATTCAATTGAAGAAGATGGGATATAAAAGCCTCCCTGTCTTTGAAGAAAATGACATGCAGAGGATTCGAGGGGTGAATGAAGACCAAACCAACAACCCATCAATATTGGTTACCGGGGAAGACTCTTCAGCAGCGGAATTCTACTTGAGATGCAGGAAAGCGGTGAGCATGGTTCACCACTGTGAAGAAGAGGATTTTGTTAGAAAACCAGCCAATGTCATCAGGCGATTACGAGTACTGTGGAATGGGAAAAGTACCCGGGAAAAAAATAGACATTTTCGTTTCCGAGTTATAGAAAACGTATTTGCATCGGTAAATGAATTGCAAGTATGTTTTTTTCTGCATTGCCAACAAAATTGTAACTCGCTCTTACCTCTACTCCTACACGCAAAAGGAGAGTTCAACAATACGTGCGTGTAGTGAATCTACATTCACGCCCAGAAGCAAAACAAGGGACCATCACAGCATTTGCTCAATGGATGAGGGAAACTGGACAAAACCCTGATCGAGATGGGTCATTGATCCGGAAGCTGAAGTATATTATTTGTTGCAAACATATTGTCTTTTTTTAAAAAAAATGTGTACCATACAAATGTAAACAATGAATATATATCACTGTTTTGTTAAAATAAACATTATTTTTCTTTTTGATAATCAGTATAGTCCCTAATTGTATAGAAACTATCTCTATCTCTATGAACGTGACACTTGATGAACGTGATATTTACGACCTGGGTGGTAATAATAAATATCAGTATTGAATTAAAATATGTTCCCATCATTAAGTAAGTCACTTTTGACAAATATTACAGATTCGTAAATATATAGGCAAGGCAGTGGTAACATTCCAAGCTCAATGAAGAGAGGCTTTCAGGGATAAAGCAGGTGGTATTTTTTCACTATTCTAGTAATTTTCTTTTGCAATCTAAAGGTGTGAGTACTATACGATGAGTTTCCCCAGAATAGTATGCCATATCTCAGGCGGGAATGTACGTTTGCAAAATACACGCAACGAGCTGCATGGAGGCTGACAGAATTTGAAAGAATTCTGAATGCGTAACATAATGAAATTAATTTAGTGTTTCATTTTGTAATATGTACATTCCATTTGAGGTTTGACTGAATTGAGAGACCTAGAAATTTTATTACCTAAATATCAGCTAATTGCATATTGTTCATTTTCAACGGAGCTTGCGATTGCTGATTTGAAACGCAAAAATGCATTGAAACTGTTTTTCCTTCGTTAAATATTAATTTGTTATTACAAAACCAATTTCATACTTCTAAAATCGTACTATTTACTGTTTCTTTTTTGCAAAGAACATTCGTGTCATCGGCAAACAGAATCGTTCTTCCGTTTTTAATAGGCGACGGCATATCGTTTACGTATAACAGAAAGAGGACTGGGCCTAAGACCAAGCCTCGCGGGACCTCATATTCAATTGGTGAAGAATTTGAAAGGTAAGCTAACAATGTCCTTTTGTGCCAGAATGGTATTTCTGCTCTTTGAGATTGATGTTTAAGGTACGAGGTTATCCAATCTAGGGCGATACCACGAATTCCATAAGAAGGTACAGTTGATAGCAAAATGTTATGGTCAGATTCATTTACGTCCATTAATAAAGGAACATTTTTAAGAAAAGAAAAAATGACAGTTTGCTTAGATTTTGATTTTCTAAAACCGTGTTGTGAATCTGAAAATCTGTTGTGAATCGTTGTTTTTCCTGAAAAAAGTTTCCATTCGCGTAAGTCTCTAATATTTTTGAGAAACCTGACAAAAGTGAAATTGGTCGGTAATTTTGAATTTTATTTTTGCTCCCTTTTTTAAAAAGTGGCTTAATTTTTGTTGTTTTGAAAATATTTGGAAATATTTCTGTGCATAAAGAAACATTGAAAATGTGAGTTAACGAGTGTATATATGCAGGTACACAAGTTTTCAATAAACAATCCGGAAATTCACCTAAACCAGATGAATATTTATTTTATAGTTTACTGACTATTCGAAAGATTTCGTTAGAAGAAGTTTCGGAAATAAATATCGTGTCGAAAATGTTTTGGGTGGAAAAGGTTTTCGTGAGTTCAGCCGCAATTCTAGAAAAGAGTTGCTTGAAGAGATTTGTCACTTTTCCCGGATTACTGGCTTATTTTTCATTATCTTTGAAACAACATTCTCTACTGAGTAACGAGATGATCTGGTCGTATTTTTTACAGTATCCCTCATTGCTTTAGTTTTGTTACTAGCGTTCAAAATATCATGATTATTTTACATTGTTTTTGCCTGAACTATTACTTTTCTTAAGATTCTTTTGTATTCTGAGAAGTAGACATGAAAACCGGGTGATACGTTACGATGTTTATAAATGATACTGATTTAGTTTGGAAACGTTTGGCCCTGTTTGAACATAAGGAGTGAACTATTTTTTTCCCGAGTACTTGGACTAAAGCTAGCAGATTCCAACATTTTCACAAAACCAAAAGAGTCTAAAATCTAGAATACGATAATTGATTAGTTTCAAATTAACTTTTAATTTTGATGATGGTTTGCTAGTATTTTATTGTTTGGTTGCAGCTAACTTTAGATTACTACCCATGACGGATGTCCCGCTTTCCTCTCTTCACTGCACGTAAAACTAGCATAGTAAGGAGACGCGAGATAATCTGCCTGACCTGCGCAGACCCACTGGGGGAAAGGGAATGGCAGCACCTTCCCTCCCAAGAGCAAGTTTTATTGGAATGACTTTACTTAGTTTATTAATCACAATTACCACGTATACGTCTATCACATCAAGGGACTTATGAATAAACTTTTTTATTCAAGAGGATTTTAGTTTTTGTTTATTATTTCACAAATATGGTAGAATCTGAACTGGCATTGCCAGATCCCCCCACAACATACACACATGCAATACTTGTTGCATTCGCCATTGCAAGAATGGATATAAATTGAAAGAAATAGAAACAAGAATGATTACAATGTCATTTACAAAAAAAAAAAAAAAAAATACTTTCTCATTTAAGGAAAATGCAAGTCATTTAAAAAACATTCACACCAAAAAACACATTTTCCATAAAATCGGAAAGACGTAATTTAAAACTTGTATAATAGGTTGCACAAAAAATTATTGCATATTTTGCAGGGATATGATGGAATGAAAGGTTTCAGAATGGACCGAACGGGGCGGTAAAAGGAAGGGAAGTGTCGAAGGGAGGCATGAAATGGAATGAACAAATGGGAATGGGAAAGGGAAAGGGAAAGGGAATGGGAAAGGGAAAGGGAAAGGGAAAGGGAAAGGGAAAGGGAAAGGGAAAGGGAAAGGGAAAGGGAAAGGGAAGAAAGGTTTAAAACGTAATCAGAAACAATGTTCATGAAAATAATTAAACGTTTGAGAAATCCAGGAGTACCCTAGGTGTGAGGACCCCTTTTCACATTGATGCTTCCGCACCTAACAAAACACAAGCGGCAAGGGCGAAGAGACTTATGGGTAACAAGAAAGGAGTCTCGCTCGTGCGGTGTGGAGTGGGGCCTGTGGGGAGTGTATGTTATCATGGATCAGAAATCGCGAAAAATACGAATGAAGTATTCAGACTGTGAGAAAGGTTTTCTGTACATTCACGTTTCATGATTGACCGTACTTTAGATGTGAACAAATGAATGAGAATTGACGTTTCGATAGAATGATTTTTCTCGTCAATAACAACCAAAGAAGATGAACCTGTGGTTGATGTTTGGGTGAGCTGTCTTCCATCAATTTGTGAATAACAATGAAAATAGATGATATTTTCGTGTGCTTATTAAATTTTATGCATAGATTTTGATGTATGTGAATGAAATGAATAATTCGTTACTTGCAAAGTATTGATAATGTTTAATTAATATTACTTATGAATGCAATTTCTAAAATGTGAAACAAATGTTATAGATGTTGATTTGATTTTAAAGTAATGTTAAAAGGTTATATAAATCTGATTACAAATAATAAATTTATTGAGTACATAATCACTGATATTAATGGCTGAATTTTGAAAATTTCATTTTCATTACTGTGAGGTTTAATGTATAACTACTTCTTTTTGGAACTTTTTTGTGCCATAAATGCAGATGATCTCTTAATTATTTGGCTAGTTAATATGCTTCTTTATGTTACAATTTGAAAGTAACTAAATAAAATATTTCAAAAGTATTAAACAAAGAAACAACCTTGTAAAGTCGGATAGATAAAATTATTCTTTAATTATCTTTACTGTTACGTGACGATTTACTGCATTTTCAAACTGTGAAGCTTTCATTAGAGATATTCTAGAGTAATGTGAAGACTAAGTTATAATTAATTCTACAAATTATTATTATTATGATAGAAATATTTTGTAGTAGAAGCACATTTGAAACCGTTCTAGGAAGATGGTAAATCCCGAATACTTTGGACTCCCAGACTAAATATGAAATAGTTCAATTATATGAAGTTCCATATTTGTATATATATTATATATTCAATTTGTAATCATGGCGAAAGTGGAAATTCAAGGAGGCGGAGGAGCCTCACCATCTGCAGCGGGAGCTGATGGAGAATTACAAGCCAATGATGTAAGCAGTATTGTTTTTCTTTTTATTTGTAGCAAAATGCTTGCTTGTTTTATATAATATAATTCGTATAATAAATTAATGAAACAATAAATAATGGGATTTATTGAACGATACCAAGAAACACAAATGAGACTTCATAGAAGTTAAATGCTAGTAAACAGATATACTCATCTTAAATTGTTTCTTAGGTATATGATGAACAAATTGAAGTTGTTGAGCAGTGTGTAGAAGATAAAGAGCAGCCTGCTGTTGGTGACATAAAAGAATTAATATTTGATTCACCATTACCTACGTATGTTCCTGTGCTTCCTCCAGGATTTGAAGTTGATTCATTTTATGTGTGTGAGGGATGTGGTGACAGGTATGTACATTGTTTTTGTTTATTTTAAGGATTGTCATACTTTTTTTTTTTTTTTTTATAATGAAATGTTTTGTTTAACATTCTTTGGTTGATCAAAATACTTTCATATGTAGGAAATAAAATTTCTCTTATGATGTTAGTTAATTTCTTGTTTGCTTGAAAATGTGTGATGTATGTGTGATTGAAATATAAAATAGTATAGGCCTATTTAAAAGTATGTTTGTGAAAGACATTCAAAGTTTTGTATCTCTTTATTTTTGCCACATTCAAAACTCCTTTGTTGGCTCTGGTTAGTAGCTATAGTGCATGCTTCATTTTTTCTTTTCTTTCTGGTATTAAATGCCTTTCATGTGCTATTTTGTATGTAAACTTGCTGAGGATATTAAAGTTAAGAAATAAAGTGTATTAATCACTTGCAATAAATAAAGCAACACTATATGTTTGATGACAAGATTCATTTGTTAATATTTCACACAATTAACATTCATTAGTAAATGAATATATTAGTAGTTTTCAGTACACGAATGAAACTCATTAAGTCCAAGAATCATGTTTTGAGATAAATCTTATTAAAGATTCTATTAAATTTGTCTTCTGAATATCTTTTACAGATCTTTAACTGGTATAAAGCTTGGCGTATTTTCCTAACACTTACTTCCATATGTGATATTGCTTTAAGAAACTAAAATAATAGATTTAAAGATGGATTTCTCCTGAACATCTTCACGTAATTTGACTTTTGACTTGGTGAATTCACTTGTGTATTACTGTTCACTTGAATTTCACTGTTGGGATTTAGAAATTTTACATATTTGCTCTTGGTAGTAATATAAGAATAATGAATAATAATTATTAGTTATCCTTTTCATTGAAATAATGATCACTTTTAATGTTACATGTGCACAGTATTACATTACTTTTATTCATCGAATGTTTTTTTTCTAAGAGTATGGAAAATTATATCTTATTTGTAGATCCCAGATTTGGCTGCATTGCCATGTAGTAGACTGTAACTTTGTTATGTACACCTTATAGAAATTTCCTTGTGTGTTAACAAGACTTTGCTGGAGCAATTTTTCACATATCACATACATTGGTACTTTTTTCTTTTCACAAATAGAAACAAAATCTTAACTTATTTACGTATTTTGTTACACAATTGACAGAGAGGTGGATTTGAATGTTGGCTACTGCCAACTTTGTTTTTACTTGTTAAGTTAACAGGTAAGATACTAACACAAGCTATCCTGTTTGATGAATAATGTGTGCAAGATTACTTTTCTTAGAATTCGTGATTAGAAAAAGACGGTAGATTTATGGGTGTCTATTGCTTCAACTGTGTTTTTTACTGTCCCGTTAATGTTTAGAATTCTAAAACTTCAACTGTTTTATTTGTTGAATGAATATGATGCATGGGGAGATGATTTGAAGGCTAGTTCCACATCCCAATCTCAAACATATCTATCCATTTTGAAATCTCACTCTTACTGATGATGATGGTGATGATGGACAGTGGTATATGGTAAATGATTATGTGAAATGGAACATGGAAAAGTTGTGGAATAAATGGAAAGGAATTTGAAGTGTTCCATGAAGTATGTTGTCAACTGCAAATCTCCAAAGTAGGTGATGAATATCAAACCCTAACTCAGAAATGAAAGACAAGTTTGCCATCTACTTACCTTTATTCTGTTTGTAGTATAATATTACATCCCAATTATATTTAAGCATTAAAATATTGAAAAAGAATCTCCTAAAATAAGTTTATAAATCCTGTTTAAATTTGTGCAATTGTGTGTTCAAGGAGGATATACAAAGAATAAGTAATGTCTTAATAAGAATATAGAGGGCTATGCAATTTATGTTCAAATCTGGAATCTACTCTTATATAATACATTTCAAAATGTCTTTCTTCTGTATGCTGTGTATGTACATTTCAGATTTGCAGTTGAATCTAGTTTCCAGTTTCATCGAGAACGTCGCAGTCTCCTCATTAAATACGATTGTCCCACCTGTCAGACTACTATAACTGCATACAACAGATGCAATCTTTTGGCACATCTTCGAATACATGGAAATACATCTCGCCATGCACTCGATTGGAATCGTGTGTTTGTCTCGCCTCTTCCTTTTGACAAAATGTTAATTGGTCCTTTGTTCAATATCAGTGAATACGATGAAACATCTAATGCGCCAGAGATAAAAAGTCGAAATGATTCAATAAAACAATGTCCTGAATGTGAAACACATTTACGAGTGGAGCTTCGTGATCACTTTCAGGGTGTAGGATACAGTGGACCTGGTGATCCAAGTAATAAATGCAAATACTGCCAAATGACATTAGCAACCAAATGTAGTTTGAAGGCTCATGAACGTTATCATCGCCAAGAGCAACCATATGTTTGCCCTGAATGTGCTAAAGTGTTCAATATGTGGGCATCGTTTTGTGTTCACTTGTTTTACTGTTGTTTTCATCTTGATAAATGCATACGATATTGTTGCCCTGCATGTAATGCATTTCTTCCTACAACTGTCTCACTTGAAGTCCATATATTGACATTACATGTTAAGAATGTGTTCAAATGCAATGCATGTCCAATAGCATGTTTTAGCTTGCAAACACTGGAAGAACATAAAATCAAAGGGCATGGTCATACAAGCTTACCTACAAATGCATATCAACAATGTCAGTTATGTCCTGATAGGCTCATTCCAAAAGCCCGTTTACTTTTTCATGTTATAGAGCATGTGCGCAAGCCCTCTGTGTGTGTATATGGCTATCAGTGTCCTTCTTGTAAAATGTTTTTTCTTAAAAAGGGTGAGTTTGCTTCTCACAAAAGTCAATGTTCTGAACAGACTTCAAGTCCTGCAGATGTGAATAATGGACTTGTAATGATGAAAATGAAAAATCAGAATGACAGTTTTTTGAATTCAAATATTATTAGTGGCCATATACCTATTGTAGCTTCTTCTGATGTAACGAATAGCCATAGAAAAGATTCTCAAGTTGGGCGGACTGCAATGAAAACTGCTGCTTGCCAAACAAAAGCAAATGGAAATCACATGTCAAAGGACGTCATTAAAAATAATCATTTGACAGAGAAATTAGATTCAAATGTGGAAAACAAAAAGGCTGATGAATCTGTAAGTATTTCATATGAATCTGAAAAGTCAGATTCTTTGGCAACTTCAACATCTGTCTTAGAGATTAAAATGGAGGATGGAATGTCACAATGTTCATTAAATACATTAAATTCTTTCAATTTGTGTAATAAGTGTGGTATGGAAATTGTAAAGAATGCACAAATTCCAAATGCTAGTGGTGCTGCTGCTCTTTGTTCAAATTGTGTGAAGGAGAAGCCATCCAGTAAAAGGACTCGTAGAAGTCATCCGCATCCTGAAACTCCTTTAAAAGAAGCAAAGGAGGCAGGAAATAATACTAATAAAAATTTAAAAGGCCAGTCTCCTCTAAAGAGAGGAAAGAACAGTATTGCACTCAATGGCCCAAATAAAAAACTGCGTTTTTCCGCACCTGAAAGTACAGAGAAAGACAAATACAAATGCCACATCTGCCGAACTCTTATTGGTACTGAATGGGATGTTATTCAGGATCATTTTGCCAAAGAACACAAAAATTTTAATCTCTTGGTATTGTCTCCTCGAATCAACAAGATTGAATTAGGTGACAATGCATCGGTTAAAACATCTACCATAAATGTTGAGAAAAAGGGTTGTACTCCAAATACCGGGAAAAAAGTGTCTGAATCGAGTTCTGAAAAAAAGGGGTCAGTTGCAGGTGCTGAGAAAAAGGGGTCTGCTGTGAGTATTGAGAAAAGGGGTTCTACTTCAAGTTCTGAGAAACGAGGAAGTGCTATGGATAAAAAGACAAGTGCTATAAATGCAGACAGAAAGGCATCTAATACCCCAGTGAAAATTAAAACAGAACCTGTGGAAACTAAAGAAGAAGAGGATGAACCACCAAAAAACCAAGAAGCAAGGAGTAAAAGGCCTAGAAGAAAAATGCCTCCTCGAGGTGCACAGAATGCTTCATCCACAACAGGGAATTCTGGTCAATCAGCAGCAACAGAAAATTCAGTAAAAAATGAATGTAGATTTTCTTGCTTCAAATGTAAATATCAAAGTGATGATGTTGATACGTTTTGGACCCATGTAGTTACTCACAAAACGGATAGTCGTGCATATCAGTGTATGGAATGTGGGATGTGTTTTGTTGTTAAGCCATCATTTCAGAAACATTTATTTATTTCTCATAAAATTAAAGATGTTGATAAGTATATAAAAGATCATGAATTGTGCCATCAAAAACCAAAGAGGGAGACCCGCTCACAGTCGGATGATCCTGGTTCCCCTGGAGCTGATGATGCAGAAGATCTAGAAGAAAATCAGTGCAGAGTTTGTAAAAACAAATTTGAAACTGCTGTGCAATTAAACAAACATTTCCGCACTCATGGAATGGCTTTCTTGCTTATGAAACAACAAGAAAATCGTTCTAATAAATAAATGTAGATTATGTTGTTGTTGCATAAAACACTTTTTGAAAGTGGATGGTAATGATAATCAATTCACTCAAATAACTATTGTGCTAAATGTTTTGTTGTCAAATTACTCAGTGAAACCCCTCTAAATTGGCATCTTGGGGACTTGTAAATGTGTCCAAGATAAGAGTCCTCTGTTTATCTTCAACACCCAGGATATGGAGGGAGACAAGGGGGCTCGTGACAAACTTCCTTATAATGTCTTATTTTCCTTGGCAAGACTGAAGCCGTGAGGCACTTTCACCTAACGACAATGGCCTGGGCAAACACTTTTCAACTCTCATTCCAGGGTTCAATCCCTGCCCAATCCATGTGGGTTTTGTGGTCAACAAAGCAAGCTCTGGGCAGGTTTGTCTAGATTCTCTCACTCTCCTGCCTCTGATTCCCCATTGCTACATTGTGATCACTATCATTGTGGTCACCTCTTGGGCCTCAATGATCTGGGCAGTTGAAAGGTCATCAAACTCAAAAAAATAAATCCAGGATATGGTGTCCAATATAGAGGGGTGTCGAGACAGTAATTTGTAAATATTTCAGTTTTGTATCTTAAGAAATAGAATTTTTCTCTAAGATACTAAACTGGTTAAAAATTTATTTGTATGACAACTTAGACAAACAGCTAGTTCTATTTTTGTTATGAAGGGAACTGTGCTCAAGAATTGATTTTTTTGTACACAGAATTTTTCTTGGGATAAAATATTAGTTATAAACTATTGTTTGAAATTCTTTTATTGAGACTTTTTTAAATTAAAATTGAGAAGCTCCTTTCCACAGCTGTGGTAAGATCATTGTTGTTTTCAACAATTTTTTTTAATATCAAAATTTTAGGTCACGATGTGTTATGAAAAATGATAGCTCTATCACTCAAACTACAAGGTAGAACAGAATTTTTATTTCTCTGAAACAAAAATAGCCTTTGGATGGGAATCAAAAGAGTCAAAAGTTATTTCTTGCCACTACAATAGTCCACTTGCAAAGAACGAACTTTTACTTCCTCTGCTTCTGCCCCTTATTACTTTATTATTACTATTATTTGGTATTTAAAGCTCTCATCAATTTATTTAGGCAGATATAAAACTATAGATTTGTGAGATGTGGGCTCTCCAAGAAGGATAATCAGAAGCTTCCTTGGTTGGTTGCAGTATGAACGTCTGCTGTCAACATGGAGAAACAGTGCATCTTTAGATGAAAGACAACATTGGGAGAAATTTTTCCTGAGCTTTGATTATGATTGAACAATGAATTACTAATTGAAGTAATTAATTTGAACATATTTAATCAAATTTTACAATTTTGTCATTTTAAAAGTTGAAGGCAAGACAGAACATTGTATAGAAATTGAAAACCTTTTGATACATCATTTACAAAGATTTTTAAATAATAGTTATTTTAAAATAATAAATTGATTTTGAATCTGAAAATATATAGCCTACAATGTTATCTAGAATGAGACTAGTAAAATTTATGTTTGTGTAGATCATGAAAGTGTTAAAGGGGCAGGAGTAACATCAAGTGAGGCATGATCTTGTATTTAAGGTTGAAAGTTTAATTGCGGCATGATGTATTTAAAATTGTATATAGAAAGAAGTATTTGTTAAGACCTTATTTCTAAATTATACGAATCTCTATTTCTGTATATTTTGTTTCTTCTGTAAATCAGGAACATGGTGAAATGAAATTGTTACTTTATTTGTGCAAAAAGTCCACTTGTTTGTAGCAATTTTATTGATATTGGAAAAATTACAACTTTTATTGAGTTTTATATAGGCAATTTGTAAGATAATTTCTTTTTGTAATTTATAATTTGTCCCTTTTGACTTGGCTGAGTAGGAAATGAGCTTCACAATTTTTAAGAATAAGTTTTCAGTAGAAGCTCTTTGCTGAAAAGTAACTTGACTAAAAAAGTGAACAAATATCAATTATGAACTTCCATATGTTTAAAACTTTGGTGTCTCTGATCTGAGATACTACGGTACCTGGATTTGACACTTAGGCAGCCATAATTGCATTTCAGAATGATGTGCAAATGCAATGACGTGAATTTTGTTTTTGTTTTTTTGTATTTAAGAAATAAAACTGAATTTTTTACTACTAGTGCAAGATATCAGTTACATTTGTGTCAAAATGTTCTTAAGCAACTTCCTTCCTTAGGTTTTAGATCAAAAAACATATTAAAAAAATGAAAGAGGAGAGGCATTTTAAATAATTTAATGAATGGTAAGTGACATTTCAATGGAAAGATGATAACTTCAGCTGAATTAGCCTGAAAGACAGATTTATTTCTGATATCAGAGATATTTTTATTGTTCAAATGTATTTGCTTCTACCAGTAAATTTTCATAACAGAGGATTAATGAACAGAAGCCTCCTTCATATTAGTCTGAAATTGAAAAGATGGTAATTGACACCCTCATTGCATTCAAAATTACTAAGCCTTCAACCCATTACCCTTGAAATACTGGATGGAAATTGCTGATTTCCTAAGAATACGTTGCTTTTTAATCCTAATAATGATAATTTGATTTAAAAATTGTGTATTTCGTCTAGGGAACTCGAAACCAAATGGTGTACTCTTGCTGGCTGAGAGAGAGGTCTGTGACTGTGGACAGGCAAAACCTCATTCATAGAAGAATTGAAGCACATTCACATCTTTTGCCAGTTATTACTTTTACCAAATTGACAAACATTTTTGCTATCGTAAAGAACCCAGGTACCCAGAACCTAGTATTGTAAAGAACCCTGACCCAGATACATTTACTTGGTTGCTACAATGTGGCTGCGTTCCTTGCACATTTATGCCTCTATTTTTTGCTGAAAACTTCTGTAGGCCGCATGCCTTATTTTGATGGCATGTAAGCGCAAAGCCTGAGCCTTTCCGCAAGGTCAGTCTCCTGGCTGGTGGTGTATTATTCTGCCAGGTGTATTCACGCCACATGTAGGAATAAACAAATAAAATTGAAAATGGAAAATTGATCGCATTATTCTAGAGAAGAAGAAAGTTTCTTTGTTTCGCCAAACAGCTTCTTTCTAGTGCACACGTTAAAAAATTTAAATGAAAATTGAGCTACATTGCCAGATTAATATATCACTTTAACAGATAATTTAGATATTCATAAAAAAAAATGCAATATAATTGTAATGTTAATAAAAAAAATAGTAGCTAATAAAATGAGGCACTGACATAAATTATTTAAGAAAAGAATATTATTTTCTCTATTTAAATTATGTTTCTTAAATTGTGAAATAGGAATGATTTAGAATTTAAAGCAATAGTAGAATTCAGCAATATGTCTACCTCAATTTTCACTATTATCTGCCATGCCAGTATATCAGAAAAATTAAGTCTTCTCTAATTTTATCTGAGTAATACAAAATGAAGATGTGATGTATAATTTAAGTTCAGTTATGATAGTGTGATGCATTGTGAAATCTGATTTTAAATATTTTAACTATCATATGTATACATAAGTGTTTACTTGTTATTAAATCCATCAGATCTGGTAGTATCTAGAAGAATAAAATTGTATGTTAAGTAATAAAACATTATTGTATTTTTTTCTTCTGAATGTACATATTTTTATTTATAAATATGCAATTTGCCTTATTTTCTGCTTTTGAACTATAATTTATAATTTTTTGTGTGTGTCTTCTGTATTTTATTCAGTAGATAACATACAGCTGAGCTAGTGTTTATTATTATTTTTCAACTAAACTTCTTGTACAAGGATCGTTAAAATTTGGAACATTAGCAGAAAAATGGAAACCATTTCCAAGGATACTGTGATAAAATCTTTGTGTTTTGATTAGGTGCTATAAAATTATTTCCATTTTGTTCCTATTGTTCTGCGTGTTGACCAAATTTTAAAATATCATTCTACTAACTATGAAAATAGACAGAACATTTGGGAACATTTTAATTTTTTTATGTTTATTGTATGACCATAGAATTGTATTTCTTGCAACAACAAAATTTTGGGTTGTTCTATTTTGTACAAAAGTTGATTTGAAGAACACAAAGTTTTTGAAATTGTAATATTGACTCAGGACTAGAATGAAATGTTTCACCTATGAGAACACTGAATTAGTGTACTCTCTTTACAACATTTACTTTAATTGTTCATCATCATCATCTTGAACTGATCAGAAATTAGGCTCTATAGCCTGTTTCTATTTGTTCTTTAGCCTGTTTTCTATTTGTTCTTTAATTGTTATAACTTTATTTATCAGATTGGCGATAATGAATGTAGGTGGTTTCAAAATAGGCCATGCACCACAATCTTTCAATGCACTACATTCAGTAGCTCTTGACAAGATTAATTGTTTGGCTGTATTTTTAATTGGATCTTTAGTGAATTGAATTGCCTTATTTTACATGGCTAGGCTCAGGCCATGGCTAGACTCTTCCTTCTGACCATGCAAATTTCATTTTTTGCTCCTTTCACCAATTAGCGGAGAAGGGAGGTATTTCCCTGTTCCTTTAGACATTTAATTGTGTGAAGAAAGCATATTAATATAGTTACTTTCAACTAATAAGTTATTTTTTTCTTTTTTCATAATTTTTAAAGAATTTTTCACTGATTTCATCAATTTTAATAACATTTTAATGGTACTTCCTTTCAACAATATTTACTAGATGCAACAAAGGTTCTCCCTATGCATCACGTACAGATTTTACTGTTCTTTGACTAAATAAATCAAATTAAAGCCAATCCTCTGACTTGCTGAGTAGCCTATTCGATTTCTGCGCTCAAAAATGTAATCTGAGGTTCCTGTGACGCCTATCAGCGCCATTGTCAGTTCACCTGATTTCGGGATAAGTAAGACATATTTCCTAGTAAAGAGCAGTCCAAATCAAAAATTTGCCAGCTGAGTTCATTTGAACGAAAGGAAAAAGCCTTGATTACATGGGTATCCAACAGCTTCTTGTTAAACTGAACTGATTTTGATCAAAGTCATCAAAATCCATCCCCTAGTGATGAGGGTATTCCCTGGACATAGACTATTTTTTAAACTTTGCTGTTTTAAGATCCTGAGGAATTTCTCAACTAATTGACTGACAAATGGGTTCTATATGTCCCAAATTAAGTATATATTAATATATACTTCATTATATATAAGTATAAGCCAAATATATATTATACATCATATGCTAAAACAATCCGTTGAAGTGATGTATGATCAATCAATGTCTGACTCTAAGAATTAATGGAAGCATTTGAGTGAAATCATGAACCATTCCTTGCGTTATCAGCAAAATACTTTCCACACCTGAATGCTTTTGGTAGTCTCGTGTGATTTATTGCTTTATAAGTTTGGTTAAGAAAGGAATATTAACAAAAAATATGAATTCATTTAATGCATTATTTAATTACAAAATCATTAAAACATGGTACTTATATAATTGGGAATGTTAGTAGTAAAATCCTAGGTGCATTGGCGGGTGCTCTTGGATTTTTTTTGATTTTTTTCTCTCTCTCAAAATAATATAATCAATATTTTTCTCATTTCTTTTCTGTATATTATTGTATGTTCCCATCAAGAACTTTTATTCCTGTTCAAGTTATCTATGTACGTAACTAATAAAACTTTGTTCTTTTTCTTTCTTTCTGTGATGTGGCACAAATGCCAGTGCAAGTAAACACTTCCCAGCCCAGCCCTTTTAAGTACTTTGAGTTTGTCAATAATATATTACAAACATATTTTGGTATAAATTGTCAACTGCATTAAATAGTTAAAAAGCTTTAAAATTTGTTGAAAAGAAGAAAGATTGTCAATACATCAATAGTTGATTAATAGATACTCCTAAAAAAATAGGATTCAAAGGAATATAAGTTTGTTCTTTTATATGCCATCAACAAATTTATAGACATGTGGTTAATTCTGCACTGAATAATTTGAAAAAGTATTGTTTCCCTTGAAATTTGTTTTTATACCAATTCATATTTAATATGAATTTTTAAAGGTTATAGTGAACTATTTCAAAGCCTGGATTTACTGGTTCCGAAGGAAATAAATCCTGAATTCTAGTCTCCTGAATTCACAGTTCCAAAGACGCAACTTTTGAGAGTAGAAGAGGTCTTCAGTGAAGAGACAGCCTTGCTAAAATACAAATGGTAGTGCTCTTAGAACCTAAAACAACTTTGCTATTGTGAAGTGCAAGTATAACTGATAGAACTTTTGAGAGAGAGAAGAAAGTAGAGACAGTGACAAATGCAAAGAAGGCTAAAGAACAAGAATAATGAAACTATAAATTATGTAATACTACAAATCAAATTGTTAGCATACATAAATAATATAAGGGCAAACTAGAGATTTGGAAAAATCTTCGTAAAAATAAGCAAAATGCTTTAGAAAAAGACATGGTTCTATAGTGCTGGGCAATGATACAATATTTGTTTAGAAAGTGGACCTTTATTGTTTAATTATATATTTTTTAGAAAATGTATATTTTGGTTAATTTGAAACTTTTTAAGTTCCCTGTAGAGTTGGAATTAAAAAGGGGTCTTATTTAATCCTCAAGTGGTCTTGGGAACATCAGAGATTTTGCAGTTGATTCTGTTGTATTGGATTAAATTTGTTAATTACTTCAAGCTTTTCAGAAATGATTTTGAGAAGACATTAATTCAATGAACACTTACAATTACTCTTCCAATTTGAGGATATCAAACTGTGTTGTGTAACCATTGCTTTTAGTGAGGTCATCTGAAAAGGAAATAATGAGCGACTGACTCATTTCAATGCATCATCATGGCTAAATTAATAACAACATACTGAAATACCTATAGTACTAATTTCCAATGTGGGCAAAAATAGAAAGAACAGAAACTAAGCACCCACCGCCCATGCGAGAGGTGACTACAGTTGTGTTAGATCAGGATTGTTCAACTGGTGGGCCATATGTGCTGCCATTTGTTGTGGCCCACGAAAGGTGAGGTCAAAAGGGAAAGACGCTTTCATCCATATCTGGCAGGGGGAACTCTGTGTGCGTAGCACACATGCTCTGCCGGAGTCATCACCCCATTTAATGTTAAAATTGGTCAAGTTAAGATTTAAAATTTTTTTTCTAGTTAATTCAGAAATTCAAAATAACCCCAATGAGTTTCCCTGCATTATGCATGGTACGGCCTGTTATTTATGCATGGTTCCATTCCCCTCCCCCATTTCAGAGCACTCAGACAAACTGATGAGATTAATGATGCGGGGCAGTCAGGTGTGGATTGCCCAAGTAATGACCTGCAACTATATTAAAGGTTTTAGTTGTGGTCCTTGAGGCTTTGCAAGTTGGACACTCTTCTTGGATATTCAGGAACACAGGAAAAATCCAAAAACAATTAAACAATTTTTATTTTGACTAAATATTGCATTTGATTGTTATTCTGCCTATTTTTATACTACATGTACTGACTAAATTCTCATAGTCAGTATATTGGCTTATGGTTCAGCTGACATGTAATGAACTCCAAGGAAGAGGACACGTGCCATTAAATATTTGTTTATCACATTCTTCATTATAGAACAGCAACTCTTTACCATTTACTTACAATTTCTAATTTGGTTGTTGCTTCTTAAGGCACCATTCTGTATAAATATGAAAATAAAAATTGCTGCGTGTAATTTTTTCTCCTGATTTCTTAAAACAATTATTTGAGCATGTTTGGGTCTATTGGAAAAAGCAAAAGAGCTATGTGATTTGGTGACCAATGTGACAAAATGATTGGACCTTTGTTCAATTTGAAGAATTATGTAAAAGTGTCACTTACCATTATTTTTCACATATGCCTTTCTCTATAAGTGTATGATGTGTTCATATTAACAATATATTAATGAGTTTAATAGAAACTAAGTGGAAAGAATTTGATGTTCCTGTTGTATTCTCAGTCAGAAGACTTGAATATATACTATTTAAAACATGTTGTCTAAGTGTCATGTGGTAAAACTTGAGATACAATGTCAATGACATGTAATATTGCATTTCTTTTCTTGGTAATGAGTATTATATGTTGTATTCGTCAATGCAAAATAAGTGAAAGATGATAGAGAAAAGTTAAAAGAAATTTGTATAAATGATCAAAAATATAAAGACTAGTTCCCATGTGAAAATTATTTCTTGGAATGTTTAATGAAATTGTTTAATAAGTGAAATGAGTGAGAACTATGGCAAATGAGAAAAGGAAAATTGTGGTTTGTCTGCTTGATTCTTTGCAGACTATGTTAACAGGTAGCAGAAACAGATTCTTCCAGAGTATTTGGCAATTGGAATACACATAGCAGTACACACAAGACAGTAGTATGATGCTAGTGTGTTCCTACCAATTGTTTCATGGATTCAGTTTCATATGACTTTCAATAACAAAAACAGAGATTTTCTCTCACTGGTTTTTTATTTAAAATTGAACAAGTCAGTATCTTGGTTTATAGAGAACAGATTGCAACTGTAAAATTTGTTCACCTGCACACATGGAGTGGTGGTAATGATGAATTTCAAAATTTGAAAGATATTTAATATCCACCAGTTTCTAGTGCAGTTACCTTAGATTTTTTTGTAATTTGTATTAAGATATTCTATCGAGAGATATTTATGTTTCATGTATTTTCAAAAGAAAAAAGAGAGAAACTGGTATTTCATTTACTATCACTTAATTCATTGTAAATATTTTTATCTTATTTGCTTGCTAGACGTCTGTACCATCAATAATTTGCTAGAATAGTGGGCTCAGAGGGTACGGAATGGAAAAATCAAGTGTGTCATTGTGAAAATATTACACTGATTTCTTTTGTAATGGGTCATTGAATGGAGAATTAATCTTAAATATTGTATATGGGTCCCTCCTGCAATTTTATAGCAAATGAATCAAGTATTGTTTATGGTAAGACATCACAGTAAGGAAACATTTGTATTATGCAATGAGCTTGAAAATAAAATTTTTAATGTTGAGTGTCAGTAATTTCAATTTTAAAAACAATGATACGTACCCTTGTCTAAAGAGTGATCTCATTCTGGAGACCAGCCTTAATTGATGTACAAGTTTACCAGCAGTACTCCGCAGTTAATCAAGTTATTATTAAAAGCCTTTTAATTGTCATAGTTTGAACCAAATTACTTCCAAAATAGTTTTCTGATGTCCCTAATGCTTTCCAAAGGGTGAGATATATTTT